AGGATATCATGTCTGCATCTTGTACAGCAATTAACCACTAGGAAGAATGTATGCAATGTGTTAATTATTGAAACTGTCCTATCAATTTGGTTTGAAACTGTCTCACTGCTATTTGTTTCTCAATAAAATTATGGGAAAAAAACAAAACAAAAACTTGCAGCTTAAAACTTTGCTGCGGGGGCCCAGGAGATGGCTCAATAGAATAAGTGCTTCCCTGGTAAGCGCAAGGGTCTGAGTTCAATCCCCAGTTCTGAAAAAAAAACAAACAAAAAAAACCCAACTTTGCTGAACTTACCAATATTAGTGGCACCAGCATCCACACTATTTTCTACCAACTCCTTCACAGCAGTGCTCAGACTTAGTACCACTTGTCCAGAACAAATCTGATGGACTGATTTCCCATCAATAGCTTTGATGGCCTTGGCAGATTCTGTACTAAAGAAATCAGTTACAATAAACAAAGCAAGCATTCAAACAAAGCAAGTAATGTATTTTCATTCTAATTTTAACAATGGGATAGGAATCACCAGTTACCAGTGAGTTTAATCTCTTTATTGACTGTATCCATACCCATTTATTATGCTTACAAACAAAAGTACTGTTTTATAATTGTTAAATATCTGTCAAAGATACTTTTGAATAGATGCTTCACATTCAATATTTAAAATGTAATCATATATGTGTTTGCCTGAAAGAAACATACTGTATCCCTCAGGCTACATAATCTTTTAAAACAATAGAACTTTTCTCAAAAAGTGAAAACATTTCTAACATAATTTAAAAAAAACAAGAGGAATGATGTTTATGCCAAACCATGTTAGAAAGTACTATAATAATAATCCCCACAGTTAATTTTGAAACGTCAAATCAAATTCCAAGGTGCCTAATGCTGATGTGGCAAAAACCCTCCAAGTTCTTCTTGTACTGGCTTTCAGAGTTTTGCAACCATTTTGTCTCCAGACCTCTAAAACCAGAATCTAGGCTGGAGAGATAGCTCAGCAGTGTAAGCACCTGCCTGACTAGCTTAGGTCCCGAGTTCAATTCTTGGTACTACATGCCCTGCTGGCTCCCACTGTGCGGGACCCAAAACTGGAAGTGGTGGCACACACCTGTAACTCCAGCACTGGGGAGGCTGAGACAGGAAGATCACTATGAGTGTAAACTGGGTAGTGAGACCCTGTATCAAAATAATAATGATAATAATAATACCACAAATCTGACCAAATAATTTCTAGGCTAAAAAAGTCACCAATGCTCCACTGCCCATTATACTGTTTAAAATCTAGTTATAAAGCCCAGGGTGGTGGCACACACCTGTACTTAAGGCAATCTGGGCAGTTTAGCAACTCAGTCAGTTTTTGTCTCAAACTAAAGGAGTGTGGGTGGAGAGGGTTGCTCAGTGCAAATTCTCCATCTGGAAAAAGCTAGTTATGACTAGGCCCCAATGCTTTCTTGCCTTTCCCCATGTATCCCACTTTAATCACAGTAAACAACCATTTTCGGAATAGAACAAGCTCATAGACATTGCTTTGTATCCAAGTAACTCTGTCTCCCCTGCTTCTGCTTTCTCCTCTCTCTAGCTAACTCCTGCGCATCTCCAGGGCGTATTTCCCTCTTTCTTTCTTTCTTTCTTTTTTTTTTTTTTTTTTTTTTTTTTTTTTTTTTCAGAACCGGGGATTGAACTCAGGACCTTGCGCTTTCTACTGAGCCATCTCCCCAACCCTCCCATTTTCATTAATGTAGCAATTTTTAGTAAATCATCCCATAACCCGGATATAACGGAACACAGGCGCCTTCCTGGAAATCTGCGAATTTCGCACAGGATCCAACACAAAGGCCGCTTGCAATACGCCCCACACAAAAAGAGAATAAACAAACTTCTTTAATGTTCGTTCTACTTGCAAAGAATCTCACTTGTCTATAACATGAAATGTTTATATGTGGATGATCTCACATAAAAAGGAAACAGCTCTGAAAACTAACTTATCTAATTAGTAATACACTATAGGGTATAGGTCCATTTTCATGTTTTTAATATTTACATTGTGCTGGACACAGGGATGTGACAGTCAAATATTGAAAGCTAATTTCTTGAATATTGAGCACACCTGTGTTGGTAGAAGGTCCGCTAAACACAATTTGGTACTGCTTGTATGCCAGCAACGAAATATTCAGAAACAGAAGCAATGCGAATCCCCGGGGAGGAGGGGGTTCTGGGGAATGAACGCAGGGCCTTCACAGGGAGCTACATCTTCAAGCCTTTGCTTTTTGACAGGCTTACTAATTCTCCCAGACTGGGCCCGAACTTGCGATCTTCCTGCCTCAGGCCCCAAGAGCGCTACGATTACAGGCTGCCACTACACCTGGCTCCCGGTGAGTTCTCTGGCGGGAGTCCTGCGGTAGGTTTCCCCAGCACACGGCCCTGCATTTTAAAAACTCGTGCAGGCCGGGGAGACGGCTCAGTAGAGTAAGCGTTTGCCTGGCAAGTGCAAAGGCCTGAGTTCAATCCCCGGTTCCGACAAAAAAACCCAAACACCCATACAACTATGTAAATTAGTGTGCGCCTTGAAGCTCCTCTCTTCCCCTAATAACTTCAACTAAAGAATGACAGACTACCGGGAGGTCCTGCTTCGGTTTCAGGATCGCCATCAGAAAGGCTGGGACGCGGGCGCCAAGCACCCCAAGGTGCCGATCCCTCGCTCGCCGCCCGCGGGCGCCACGACCCGCTGAAAACGCGCTCCTGGGCTCGCCACGCGCGCGCCTCGACCATTTCCCGACCTTTCTCGGGACCTGGGACGCCGCGGGCCTCCGACAAGGGGACCCGAGAGAACACCGCAGCCCCGCTCACCTCGCTCGCTCGGCCAGCTCCATGGACGAAGACCGCCTCCCGCGTGAGGTAGGGCGAGAGTTCCCGCCGCCCCGCCCACTCACTCAATGGCCGCCCCCGCAGCTGAGTAGCATCCCTTCCGGGTAGGGTGGCAAAAATGCTTCCCACACTTCCTTCTCGCTGATTGGTTCTCTCAAACGTCGACTCGATGACGTCGATAACACCCGAGCCAATTACAGCGCAAGAACTGAGAGTTCTCGAACGCCAGTAGCGAGTGTCGCAAGGAAAAGTGGCCGCAGTCGTGGCGGTTGTGCGTGGTTTCGGGGCGCTTTCTGAGCGTACGTGACCCACGGTCGCCACCTTCCTTCCTTTGGTTCCCGCGATGCCGATGTACCAGGTAAAGCCCTATCACGGGGGCGGCGCGCCGCTGCGTGTAGAGCTTCCTACCTGCATGTACAGGCTCCCCAACGTGCACTGCCGGACCAGCAGCCCTACGCCCCATGCGGGCCACGTGCAGGTAGGAGTACGGGCCTCTGCTCAGTGCGCACGCGCCGTGGTTGGGCCGGGCCCTGCCCCATCACCTCGCGCTGGTTCACTGCACTGGCGCCGCAGTGCCGCTGGGCTGTGGTCCCCTGTCTCTGGCCCTCGTTTCTCATCTGGGTGGAGCCATCAGTGGGTGCCAAGGGGTGCCAAGTCCAATCCGGCCCCCAACCTCACCGTGGCCTTGTGAGCTTACCAATCAACGAGACACCCTAACTTTTTATTTAAAAAAAAAAAAACCTGTCCACCTTTATTTTTTGGCATATAGCTAAACTTTTTATTACGAAGTTTTGCCGCACAGGAAAGCAAATAATTTATAAACACTCATTTTGGGGAATTGCGGAGCAAACCTCAGGGTTATCACCATAGAGGTGGACACGCACTGTCGGCGGCCCATTTTACAGTTTTGCCCCCAAGATCTTTATTTGGTTTTCTGTTATTATTTTGGCATCTAATTATGCATCATCAGTTGTGTTGATGTGAGCAGAAGCCTTATATCTGTATGGCTGGCTTTTTCTTTTTTTTTTTTGTAGACTTAAGTGTGTCATTTGATTGTAACAAGGAAGTCATCCTCTTCTCTGCAGTGTGTTGTTCCACCACTACTTATCCCTCCAGCTGCTCATGGGCCCTGGGTCGTTTTCCATCTTATGGTGTTATGAATAATTCTGCGGTGAATATTCTTAGGAGCTTTATTCTAAAGAACAAGATTACTGGCCCGATGGAGTCTGTCTTCCACTTTAACTGGATGAATTACTTCCTAAAGTGGTTATACTGGTTGATGTTCTCACCAGCCTTGGAGAATTTCTCCTGACGTTTGCACTCTGCAAAGCTGGTGGGTGTGCTGTAGTCATCCTAATTGTAGATTTCATTTAGATTTCCTCATTTTCTAAGTTGAGCGCCTTTTTGTGTTTCCTGGCCATTTTGACTACAACTTTTGTAAGTACCTTCTACTCTTTCATTCAGATCATCTGCCTTTTTATTTATTACAAATACAGATCTGAAGTCTCCAAGGGAGAAATGTTGGGACAGGAAAGGAATGGATAACTTTTGTGGTCAGTTTTCCACAATGTGTTATCAATTATCTTCATCACTTTCTGCTTAGTTCAGAAGGGAGATGGTTAACTTAATTTGAAACCCAGTGACATTAGCAGTTGTTTCACCACAGAGCTAAAGACAAAAATAGCAGATATGGTTCAATGGCCCTTCAACTAGAGAGTGCCACAGAGCCATGGCCCAGTGCCCCTTCAGATGCACAGTCCAAGGAAGCAAAAAGCAAGCCAAGAGTGGAGATGTCACCTGTGATTCATGACCAAGTTTTATTTTAAGTCTGCTGCCTGACTTCTTTTGGGCTTTGATTGAACTTCTGACTCACAAGACACACAGTTCTGCTGGTCTAGCAGTTATCTGGCGCATGGCAATATAGATAAACAATTAGAAATCAAGTGAATCTAATGTAAATGAGAGCAACACCAAAAATCAGCATATATATATACATATATATATATATATATATATGTATATATACACACACGTAGTTCTTGATCTCAAGAACTGTGTGTTCTCGAACACCAGTAGCTAGTGTCACAAGGAAAAGTGGTTGCAGTCGTTGGTGGTTGTGCGTGGCTTCTGGGTACTTTCTGGTTGTATGTGTTCCCTGGTTGCCACCTACCTTCCTTTGGTTCCCATGATGCCAATGTACCAGGTAAAGCTCTATCCCAGGGGTGGCGTGCCGCCGCGTGTAGAGCTTCCTACCTGCATGTACAGGTTCCCCAATGTTTACTGCAGGACTGACAGCCTTGTATATATATCAGGTCACAGTCTAGACCTAGCAAGAACAAGTACAGGCCAACATCTTAGGAAGGTACCGATGAGACGAAGCAGATGCCTCAAGCAGTTTGCTGTTACCCACATCAAGAGGGTGTAGGTCAAGCCATTTGAGAAACCACAGGCCACATTACATGTGTAGCTCCTCACCCCAGGCATTTTCAGTGTGTAGTAACTGTGCTTTGAAGCTGGCAGCTTCTTCTTTGGTCCTGAGAGGTATTCATCCTGCTGTCATTTGGAGAAATGAACAAGATTGTTCAGGACCAATACACAAATATAGGCTGGGTAAATGAGATAGGAAATATCGCTTAAGTTGACCAACACTGAGTAACATGAAGCTATTATGACACGGGTACTACTCCTGTCACACATCTTGTGTTCAAACATTTCCAGGCAGCACCTATTTATTTATTTAATGTATTTGGTACAGGGTCTTACTATGCAGCTTAGACTCTAGTGATCCTCCTGTTTTCAGCCTTCCCAGTGCTGGGAGTACAGGCGTGTGCCACCATACCTGGTATTTGTGACTGGCTCAGTATGCCAATGTGGCATGTTGTGCCAGGAATTGAACCCTGGTCCCTGTGCTTGTCTAAGCAGATGCTTAGTCCACTGAGTTATCTCTTGCAGGCCCAGCACGTCATTATTTATTTGGCATCTTTCATTCTTTGTTCTACCCAGAAGTCAATGGGCTTACTTATCTTTGCTGTCTGATCTTCACAGCAGCAAGCTAGGGGAAGTGAGAAAGTGGCGATCAAGTTCCGAGCATAAATAGGAGCTAACCAAACCAGAGAAGACAGAACAGTGTGGTGTTTTAAGAACTCACAGTGCAGTGTAGTTAGAACACTGAAGAAGGGAAAGAGTTATTTGGCGAAGTAGACAGGGTCTGGGTCATACAAGTGTTTACTAAGCCATGGTAAGAGGTTCATGTGTATCCTAAGAGCCCCAAAAGTTAGCACAGAGGAGTTTGGGCCAAGATAGTTTTTAAAATCTCTCTGGCTGGCATCTTAAGGGGGAAGCAGTACAGTGGTAGACCAGACTGGGTACAAGTGACCAGTAAGAAAATGGGCCAGTAATAAATGGAGCCTGTCCTTGGACACTGATAGTGGAGTTACACTTGAAAACCAGGGGATTCCAGAAATATTTGGGAAGTTGGATATGTGAGATGGATGGGTAGTGGATGATTAGCGGAGGAACAAATGTTGCAAAACGCTGGACTTTGCTGTACACCATGTGAATAAATACTGTACTCTCTACTCCCATTTTACTGTAAACAGACCCACAGACATTCAAATTCCAATCATAAATAGGAGCTAACCAAACCAGAGAAGACAGAACAGCGTATATAAAGGTCCAGTAGTAGGAGAGAGCATGGTGTTTTAGGAACTCACAGTGCCGTGTAGTTAGAGCACTGGAGAAGGGAAAGAATTATTTGGTGAAGTAGACAGGGTCTGAGTCATAAAGACCCATGTATTTATTTTTTTATAATAAATTCAAGAGCATTGCTGTGTTCTTGACTCTTCTGATGGAGGCCATTTTCCTCATGCTTAATGTATTCTTTCAACTCAGAGGGGATTAAAGTAAGTCTGTAACTAAAGACCGACTCATAGGCAAATATTGGTTCCTGTGTGCCAGTGCCTACTAGGCAAGAAGGACCCAAAATTCCCTGACTGAGGGATAGTAAGAGTTTTTACTTCATGAAGTCACACATTTCAGTAGTGGAAAGGTTCTAGATCAGTGATGGTGAACATTTTAGAGACTAAGTGTCCAAACTAGGACCCAAAACCCATTTATTTACCACAAAGTCCCATTACTGCAATGAAACCTGAATACCAACCAGCCGTGTGAAACCTTGGATGAGTGGCAGCTAATGAGCAGTGGTTCACGACAGCATAGCCTGGCACCACTACGCCTACAGGGCACGGACGTGGTTCCAGTGTGCTGGGGCGATGCTGGGATGATTTGGTTCATGTGTGGACAGAGGGGTCTGCGTGGCTGCTGCTGCACATGTGCCATGGGTTTGCCACGACTGTTCTAGATGACTCTAAGACAAGAGGGTGCCAGTGCTGCCTCAAATTATACAGGAAGTCAATTTCCGTGCCCGCAATCTGCTTCTGTGCTGGAGACCTTTAAATTTGTCTGAGCTACCTTTTCCCTTCCATTTGTATAAATTATTAAGTTCCACTCTCATCCCCTCCCCATCATTCTTTACTTAAAAAAAGTATACTGAATTAGTTCATTATCAAAAATAAAGAATGCTGGCCTGATCTGGTGGCAAATGCCTGTAATCCCAGCTACTGGGGAGTCTGAGGCCAATCTTGGCAACTTAGCAAGACCTTATCTCAAAATAAAACAATAATTTTAAAAAGGGCTAGGGATGTAGCTCAGTGCTTCTGGGGGTCAGCTCACAGTAGTACAAAGAAAAAGAGTACTCAGGGCAGTAGGAGGTTGAGGCAGAGGATCCCTTGAGCCCGGAAGGTTGGGGTCAACCTAGACAACATAATGAAACCTTTTCTCTAAAAATAAGTTAATTAAAATAAAGACTAGAGAATAATTTGTGTTTATTTTCTACTGTTCTCTGTTCTTAAGCTGAATTACTTGAGGATTTTTTTTTTTTTTTTTCTCCTCAAATGCCTTCAGGGCACTTTTGGCTGGCTGGAGGGTTGTGGGGATCGAACTAGAATAAGCTGAGGCTGCCAGGTTTGCGGAAGCAGCCACTTAAAGAACTGAGCTAGAGCCAGGCCCCCAAGCTGAATTACTTGAAATAGGGATCAGATCATTTCTAAATGACTTTACATCACAT